AAAAAAAAAAAAAAAAAAAAAACAGCCATGAAGCCAAGTTATTCAGCAGTTTTAACAAAAGACTAAAGGAAATGCAAGAGTTTTGAAACAATGCAGTTATATGAACAGTGAAAAGAGAAAATGAAGTCACCTCAATGCAAAGCAACCATCCTGCCATTCTACTAGAGGATAGTTTTCTGAGGGAAATAGGGGACTTCTGAGATCTTCAGAAATAGTTCTGAATATCTCTAATAATTGCATTGCTATTGCATTACCTAAGGTGTAGTGTCTGTCCAAGATGACAGAAGTTGCCCCACAGTTCATACATTTCAATGCATCTCAGTTACAGAGACAAACAAACAATCAAACAAAAACAAACAAACAAAAAAGCACCAGCAACAAAAGAAACCAGAATATATTGCTCTGTACGATACCTTCCAAAAAGTAGCAGATATTAATATACGAAGTAATTAGAGTTGATCCTCTGGCCAACTATATTTTGAAAGTTTGCTGTTAAGTTTTTTCTGTCCTTATTTTAGGTACACAACACATTGCTTTATGTTTAATTTGAAGGTTTTCTAATGCAAATAAATGAGTTGATAAAATATTTTGACAATTAAGTATCTCAGTAAGGAACCAAGAAAGTGCTGGCTTTACCTTGGGTAGTTGGAACCAGTTAATCTTATGCTTCTGTATTTCTCTCACTAGGAAGCTAAGAAGAGATTATCCTTCCAAAATCCTGATGAATTTGAGCACAGCTCTGCTCTTTCTGAACTTGACCTTCTTGCTTGACGGTTGGATTGCATCATTTGACATAGATGGCCTCTGCATAGCTGTTGCTGCACTTTTGCACTATTTTCTTTTGGCCACCTTTACATGGATGGGACTAGAAGCTGTTCATATGTACATCGCTCTAGTGAAAGTGTTCAACACCTACATACGGAGATACATTCTCAAGTTTTGCATCATTGGCTGGGGTGAGTTCAGTAGATGCAGTTTTTACAGTGTGCTTTTTGAAACGTTTTTTTTAAAACAGACCAATGTCACAGACACAAAACAGAATCAAAATCAGTCTACAGTTTCCTTCCCTCACCCTGAGGTGCTGGCACACATCCAGCTGAGGACTCTGTGTCATGGAGACCAGAGTTCCTGTGGATGGTTCAGTGAAAACACACTGGAACTGGCAATCTTTGCCCGAGGAGAAGCAGAGAGACCAGATTTACTCTAGTGTTTCCAAAGAAGCCAGCATGTTCCTGCCATATCAGAGATGGAAAATCATGGCACAAAGTAAATTCAGATCTTCATACTGGCTTTCAAGAAGCTCTCTGTAGTTTCTTGCCAGAAATACAAAGTGTATGGTGGAATCAGAAGTGACCAAACTTTCTTGAGCTTCAGCAGTGTTTAAACAACAGAGAAATCCTTCCTGCCCTAAGAAGTATACACTGTAGGACTGAAATGGAAAATGTAATACTGAAAAACAACTGTAAGGCTCAAGCAGAAAGGCTTTTATTCTTCATTTTTTTAATATCAGGAATCTGTGCTTTCTGTCTGAATGCACATATTGTGTTTGAAATAATACAGTACAATACAAAACCATTAACCTCATGACTAGAGCACTGACCTCAGTCCAGCTGGTAATTGATGTCTTTCCATCGGCAACTAGCATCCTTTTTGGCAACATTAGCAGAGAACATGGACTGAGTGGTAGGAAAAGCAAATTAACCTCTTCCCCCTTTGAATCTGTTTTGTCATTGAAGGAATAAGGCATGTAAATAAGGCATGTCAGGAAATGTACATCTGCTCCATGGGAGCTGTATCTCCCTCTGCACATAGTTCTCTTTCACATAGTTTTTTTATTATTTTCCCAAAATATTCTTTTTACTATATTAATAAAACAGAAATAGTTTTCTTTTTTCTTTCCTTTTCTTTTTTTTTTCTTTTCTTTTCTTTTTTTTCTTTTCTTTCCTTTTTTTTTTTTTTTTTTTTTTTTTTTTTTTTTTTTTTTTTTTTTTGAAGTTAAGGGCATCTAATGTTTTAGAAAAAGTGAAGATATTTTCAGCTGAGAGAAGCAGAGGAGAAATTACAGGTTTGAGTTCATGTTCCCTGGTTCCTCATCCTTCTTAAATGACATCAGCATCTCTGGAAAGAAATCCCTCCAAAAATATCCCAATCCCAACTCTTCTTTGATCTTATTGTTTCAGTAATTTGTTAGTCTCCTCCCTTCATTATGAGAACCTGTGTGCAAGTGCTTTGAGAAAATTACCTTGTCACATCCTAATATAGCATTTTCTAACTTAAAGAAAGGACATTTAGGAGTTTTATGTAGTTTTCTGACATAGAACTACCTCAGGATACTCTTTGCTAAAGCACTAGCATTGGAAACATTGATAATTTAGCTTTGCACAGTAATCTTGAAAGTTTAGGAGATTTGAGAGCAAACTACAATGTTCTTCTGTTACAGGTTTGCCAGCTCTAGTGATAGCAATTGTTTTAGCGAGCACAAATAAAAATGCAAGTCATGTTTATGGCAAGGAATTGTACGGCAGAGATGCTACTGGGCAAGGAGACGACTTGTAAGTATTTACAATCTCTTACAATTTAGCATGGAGAAAAAAGAAAAGACATTTACCAGATAGCTTTGGAAAAGTCACGTGTGAATAAATCAAGCAAAATGGACAAAATTGTCTCCTATTTTTTTTAATCTCAAGTGCAAAGAATTTCAAATAATTCATTTGAAATTTGAAATTTTTCATTTGAAATTATAGCTCTGCAGAAGAGAAACCAGATGTAGACAGATTTTCCTTGTAGTTAAATAAATGATGTTTTGTGCTACCTAAAAATGATTGTATTTTTTTTTACAGCTGTTGGATCAAGAATAAGGTTGTCTTTTACGTGACTTGTGCCGGATACTTTGGAATCATGTTTCTCTTGAATGTTGCAATGTTTGTAGTAGTGATGGTGCAGATCTGTGGGAGGAATGGGAAAAGAACTAATCGAACACTAAAGGAAGAGATCCTGAGGAACCTCCGTAGTGTGGTCAGCCTGACCTTCCTCTTGGGCATGACATGGGGCTTTGCCTTTTTTGCCTGGGGTCCCTTGACTCTGCCCTTCTTATACCTCTTTTCCATTTTCAATTCACTGCAAGGTAAGCTGAATTTCTTTTTCTTGTGAACAAACAACACTTGAGCTATTGTTGTTCTGGGGGATCTTACATCCAGTGATCCATCTAGGGAACTCAGATCGAAGTTCTCTGGATCTTGCCCTTATACTGAAAGTTCACTGTTTTGTAGAACACTTGTACCTACAACATATGGGTTGAAGGTCTTTGTTAGATCAATTAACATTTCAAGGCCTTTTAAATAAAATGCACAGTATTATAAATAGTGCTATTCCTAGCTAACAGTCTGCGGTGATTTCTGCTGATAGATTCTGTATGACCTTCAACATTTCCTTTCACTGATTACAACAAATATAGGAAGTCTCTTTCTTTTATTTATTCCTGTAGGGAATTTGTAAGGCTCATAACTATTTTATTAAGACATGAAAAGCTCATAAAGAAAAATCCAGTTCTGTGTCAATGTGGAGAGATAGCACAGAGATAAATTATATTATTTGGTTCCTCAAGGACCACTGACTGTTGTAGGCGGTTTGTTTTTGTTTACTTTTGCTGGAGTTTTGAGTATTTTACTTCTCCAGTGTGGTTAATCCTGAAAAATGCTATAAATTGCAATCAATTATAGTTTACAGAATCATATTGTTGACATTTAGAAGAATTTCAGCTCAGAGCTGATTTACTGTGTACCAAATGATATAAGAATCTCCATCTCTTCTTACCCTACTCATTAATACAGAAGAACAAAAGCATATGGAGAACCCACAAAGGTCATTGGAGGGGTATGTGTTAAACCATACACATATTAAAATGAAAAATATAAATTTACTCAGGGAAAAAGAAAAAAGGCATCACAAGAAGTAAACCCAAGGATGTCAATGAAGAAGCATGTGTTATGCCACACAAACACTGAGATAAAAAAATACGTAATTTCCCAAGGTCAGCAAAATAGCTTCCCTTAATGGAAGAAGTACTTCACGTAACACTGTGTGGTTTTTATCTGTTAGGGTTGAGACATATTTACTGCACTAAAAAGATTTATTGAGCTTTCGTGGAAAGAAAATGATGTTGTCAGTTTTGGTTTGGTTCAGTTTCAACCTGAAATGCTAGGCAAAATGGCAAAAATTGTTTGAATGTGGTGTTCTTACTAAAGACTTTTTTTCCAGTGGACAAAGTCTGATACTCCCCCAGGCACATAATGAAGTATTTGCTGTAATGTGTCTGTGTCAGAAACTCAGAAAGGCCTGGAGAGATTAAAAGCATGGGAAGAACATGAAAAAAAGATTAAAATTCTGAAGAGCATGCCAGGGATCAAATTCAACAAATATTCTTTAACCAGATTTTCCAGTGCAATCAATTAAGCATGTGCATGCAGAGTGCACACAAAGTTGACCACCACTGCTTAAGTCTCTGTGGGGTAATAGCACTGTCAAATGAAAAAATAGTAGGTCAGATGAAACCAAAAACCCTGAGGAGTAAACACAAGAAGAGGAGCGATGTGCTTTTCATGGATTGCGGTAGCAAAGATGGCATAGTATACATTCATACAGGTCATAACAAGCATAGGAAGATAATAATCCTGTATCTGAAAATGCTTATTGCTGTGTCTTTAGCTTTAGGCAAAGCTAAAGAAACTAGGAAAAGAACATCTCAAATCACCAATAACTGGTGCAGCATACATCTACCTAGAAGTAAGAGGATGAAAAAGCACAGAAGGAAAATTGAGCATTTGTATCAGGAAGCATTTTCTAGCATCCAAAAATAATTCAATAGGGAGGTCTTTCATCAGTATTAGCATGAACTAAATTACTGAGCCTTCCATAAATATGTCTATTCTATCTCTCATGTTTGTGAAAGCTGTGCTAGTGTTTTAAGCTGTACCAGAAACCTCCATCGACCTAGATTTCTGTGCACTGGCAGTGAAAACAGTACAGTGCTGCAACTACTGGTGTTACTGTACTTTGCTATTACATCTACATAGGAAATGATTTTTCTCTCTTTGACACTTAGAGTAAAAAATCTGGGAACATCTCTTTTTTGGCTGATTGTTTTATATATGCCTGGGCAAGCCAAATACTTTCAAGTTAGAGCCAAGCTAGAGCCAAGCCTAGGGTCTGATTTGTCTCTGGGAAACAAAACCAAAGCTGTGTTACTAAAGCACATTGTAAACTTAATGAATAATGAAATACAGAGAAAAACATTTCAGAGACCAAGCCCAGACAGGGCAAAGGCAAAGTACTTAATGCAGTGCATTTGTTTTGTAATACTCTAGACATTGGCATTTTCTTTTTTAACCATTCAAAATGTTCCAGATATTCACCACAATTTAATTAAATATCAGTTTAATAAGTTGGTAGTAATGCAGAAGTCCTAAGAGGTACTTGGGGTACAAACAGCTGCATCCCTCCGAGCAAGTAAAGGCTGCTAGAGATTGCGTTGGAATTACTCTGTGCTTAAAGCAAAGCACACACAGAAATATCTTACTAAATGCAAACACAATAACCAGATTTGAACAGAGCTTGCATGTGTTATGCATTAAGGTACCTTCCTTACATTTTTCTCATTATTCTTCTGACGTTTCTCATTAATGCAAAATGTTAGCAAAGTTAACTGTCTTGGTTCTCTAACGTAGGTGGTCTCAGCCTGGCCTGAGTGCCATAAGCAAATACTCTCAAAATTCAATGACCAACATTCAATGACCAACCAAAATTACCTCAGCATTTTGGAGGAAATAGGATAATTTTATGTACCAGATCTGCTTTTCCAACCTATATCCTGCCATTGCATTCTTACCAGCTGAAACTTAGTGGGCCATTAGTGTATGTTGGAGAGAGTCCAGAGGAGGGCCACAAAGATGGTCAGGGGGCTGGAGCACCTCCCCTACAAAGACAGGCTGAGGGAGCTGGACTTGTTCAGCCTGGAGAAAAGGGTGCAGGGTGGCCTCGCTGCAGCCTTTCAGTACATAATGGAGCCTATAAACAGGAGGGGAGTCAACTCTTTGAAAGAGTAGATAACAGCAGGACAAGGGGAAATCATTTTAAGTTGAAGGAGGGAAGATTTAGGTTGGGTGTCAGGGGGAAATTCTTTACTATGAGAGTGGTAAGGTACTGGAACAAGCTGCCCAGAGAGGTTGTGGATGTCCCATCGCTGGAGGTGTTCAAGGCCAGGTTGGATGGGGCCTTGGGCTGCCTGGTCTAGTGTTAAATGGGGCGGTTGGTCGCCCTGCCTGTGGCAGTGGGGTTTGGAGATTCATGATCCTTGAGATCCCTTCCAACTCGAGCCATTCTGTGATTCTGTGAAAATCTTAAAGGAGCAGTCTTTGAGGATGGCACTTAACTATGTTGCCTAATTGATTTATTTTTTTTGCATTTATTCACCTTTAAGTATAATCGTGCAGGATTTGGTAGCAACATTTGTCATCAGGTGTTCAGCCTTATGTTGGCTGGCTCCCAGGGAATAAGAGTAGAATGAGAACAGACCAGGACAGGGAAGGATGGAAGATTCCACAACTGGTGCCTGAGAGTGCCAAGAGCACAAGAGATGTCCCAGTGCGATATTTAGCTCCAAAATATCTCTGTAGGATGATTAACTTGTACCTTATGCCCTACTGGATACCTATTTACCCCATGGTAGATGCTCATCTTCTGTCTTGAATGTAAATAGCTTTATTTCTTAAAAAAGTGAGAACTACAAAAATATTCTTAAATTCTTTTATTGCAGTTGCATGCACAAAACAGGTAATTTTCTTCAAAAGTATCTGGACATCTAATTAGTACTTGCAAACATATTCTTACCATTCTCATAATCATTTCAAGTACATTCATGTGATACATGTAAATCCAAATGCATGCTTAAGTGCCAACTTCAGGATTTCAGGTTATGAATGTATACAGCCCACAGTACTGTGCATATAGAATGGGAGGAGATAAAATATCTTCTTGCTAACAAAACAGAGTCTGTGTTTACTTTGCAGTCTGGCTCTTGCAGTCCCACTGAGTGCAAAGTTTTCACCTAGTTCAAAGACAAAATCTTTTAATGATTTCCATCTAAGCCAAAACATAATTAAAAGATCCACAGTGAGCTGGGTATGAATCAGCTGAATATGAATGTCAATTAAAGGGCTCTCATCTCTCTCTTCTGATATACAAGACACTTGTACAGCAGCAAGAGGATGGGAAAGCTTTAATTAATTCCCAAACATATTAAATGAGGCATGTGGATAGATGACAAGATTTGTCTTTGCTTGTACTTCATAGTCTTTTGTTATCAGATTTTAGACAATCTACTTATCCATTTAGAATACATGTTTTATTTGCTTTTGTTAAAGGTTTATTTATATTTGTATTCCACTGTGCAATGAAAGAAAACGTGCAAAAACAATGGAGGAGACATCTATGTTGTGGCAGATTCCGACTGGCAGACAATTCAGGTAAAAACAAGTCATGGTTCCTTATTTTATGCAGTAGTCTGGAAAAGTCCAAGCAACCAGCTTGCTATGTTGTTTTTAATATAATACTGAATAAACCAGAGATGTTGAAAAATAGATTAATCACAGGGTATCACTTCACTTAAAAAACAACAATTGCCAACGGATTTTTCAAATATCACTTCATAAAAATCTCAAAACTTTTCTTTCAGTTTTCCACTGAAGGCAACTGGTGAATTTTGTAGTGCTACACACATGGTTTTGGAAGGCCGTCTGGAGCCTTAAAAAAATAAAGATCCAGATAGTCAAATTCTGTCATTCAAAAACTAATATTAATCCTTTTTCCCTGCTAACTAAATTATGCTGACTAAATTGTTGACTATTGGGTTGATGGAAGATTGATTCTAAAAAGTCATTTGAAACTGTTCTGCCCTTCACCATGTTAATGAGAGAGAGCAGCAGAGACTCGGAAACGGGAAATTCCTGTTGCAGAAATCAGGTTAGGTTCCAGAACTGATGTTCATCTTTATCTGTGTGGAAGGAGAGCACTGCTAGAGCTGTCCTTTGCAGCAGTTTATTTGGACACCTCAGAGTGACTCCTGAACCTTTGGCCGTCTTGGATGATGTTAGACTCCTGTATCCTCCTTTGGTATACATGATTTCATAGTTTTGGACTGCACAATTCTTGCTCAGTGACTGGGATCCAATTCCACAGATAATATAAAGTGGCATGAGCTCCTTGCCTGTTGAGGTAAACCAGCCCATCCTGAGTTATTGCAGTGCTCCAACAACTTCAGTTCCCTTCTTGTCTTGATATTCGTATGCTGTTTCAAAGTTATAAGCAAATGCTTTGCCATCGAGAGTTTAGCTTTGCCATATTCAGTTTTGTTTAGGAAATGCATTCTCAGTGTAAACTTGTAAACTACGAAACTTTTATGCTTTCATTACAGTAAAAAAAGTCTGAGTCATGACTTCAAAGAGTTAATACAAACTAGGAAAAATGAATTCATTCTGAACAGGCATCCAAATTATTTCTTATGTTCAGTTTCCATGTGGTTCGTGTTGTAACTTCTGAACTGGAAAACACAGATAGACCGAATTATTTCCAGATTTTTATGCTGCTGTTGGGCAGCCTGTGGAGATGATAGAAATAAAAACCTGAAGGGTTCAAGTATGTCTGTGATGTAATTAATGTGCTGTCATTACAGCCAGGCCATCATGTCTGGTTGGTTTTATTCTCTGTGAATCTGACAGGGTTTGCAGACAGAGCAGTGAGCCAAATGTGATCCTGCATTCTTATCTGATTGAGGTGAACTTTAGGGCATGTTATGATTAGCAAAGAAACAAACACTGCAACAGTGTCATTGCTAAATCAGAGAAGTAGTAACTCATACACTGTAGCAATGATTGGGGTAAAAGCTTTCTCTTGATTTAAACCAGAACTAAAGCAAACCATGTTAATTACATGCCTTCTGTGATTTTCACTGTAGTACATATAGTGAATTAGAACGATAGCCAAGATTACTGTGTGAAACTACTTGTATCGACCTGCAAGTATATGATGCAGAAGTAGTAGTTCATTTATTCTGAAGGATACTGGTGTTGGAAAATATATGACGAGATTTTCATTGTCATTTTTCACCAATAATTTTATTAGTATTAGTTAATTCATTTAATTTTTGAAGTTGCTCCAACACAAGAACTTATAGTGTTAATGGTTCTGCCAAAATTTGATATTCTGTGTGACCATTATTATTCATTGTTATTAATGGTACAACAACATGCAAAACTCTGTAACAGCAAGTACAAATTGCTTGTGTATCATCTACTTCAGCAGATCAGTCCCTCAAACAATAAGACCACTGTAAATGTTCCTAATGCATCTAATGCTTGAAATGTATGTAATTGAATACATTAGGCATTTAGTACAATTACTGATAGTAGTTATCCATGTTAAACTTTTCAATCATTTTCAGACTGGAGCAAGACAGCTACAAATATCATAAAGAAGAGTTCTGATAATCTTGGGAAATCCCTATCATCTAGTTCCATTGGCTCCAATTCGACATACTTAACATCCAAATCCAAATCTACAACAAATACATATTGCAAACGAAGTAGCCATACAGGTGAGTTCTTGTACTGTAACACAGTAGGTCTGTGTATACTTTCTTTTGTGTTAAAGGTATGCCAGAGACTTCTACCCAAAGATTAATGTGAGAAAAAAATCACTAATTTTTATTATTGCAGTGTTTTTGATATATGTGTTACTGTTTAATAAGAATATTAACAAAATATGCAGTACAACTCATGTATAGTTCTGATCTGAGTATGTTTCCATGCTAAACAAGTAGGGATGATGACAGTTTTTTTCTATAGCACTTTCCCCTTTCTGGATAAAAGAAGATAAGTTCTGTTATCCTTTTGTAAACACATAGTAACCAAAGCACAGAGGGATGACGCTTGTTATCCAAGGTAGCATGCAAGCTAGCAGCACAGTTGGAAATAGGAATCAAGTATTCCAAATCCAAGTCCTCAGTTGAATCACTCAGCAAAACTGCTTCCATTTGACTGTAACACATTCATGGGTAAAGAAACAAGTGGAAGCTGCTTGGAAATTAATACCACTTTCCCAGAGTACACACTGTTTTTCCATCCTAGAAATAGCATGCAGTATTTACTGCTTATCTATTCAGACGTCAGCTGTGTATGTAATAAAAGGCATCAGTATTCCACTCATGCTGTAAAAATGTGCTTATTTTAAGGACATTCTAAAAGAACACAAAAAGAAAGGAGCTAGAATGATTTGCGAGTTTGTTTGCTTGTATCAAACTATTTCAAAAAATCACCTAAATATCTTATGAAATACTATTTATAGTTTTTTGTTACTGAGTTTTTGTTAACTCATGTTTTCTTATCGCATAGTCACATAAAATTACCAAAGAAACCTCTCCTAAAATGTAGCAGAAATAAAATCTACATACATATTTAACCCAAGGGGATTTATTTTCTTGTTTTAGAATGTATGTTATTAGCACTTTTCTAGAAATGAATTATATGAATTTACTGGAAATCCCCTATATCTCATTTCTGATGTTCCAGTCTTCCTTTGAGTTACATAGCATACTCTCCAGAAAGTACCTTCCTATTTTTATTGATGATCATTTCCTGGTTCCATTCGGCACACCACATTTTTTGTCTAGAAATCCATACTATTAACTTAATAGCAATAGATTGCATTCCCTACCTCAGCTGTTCCTGTGGACTTGTCTGACATGACTGAGGAGGTGAGCATCTATCCGTTGCTGCTGCAAAATATCTTCAGGTCTGCCAACAGAGAGTTTCCATTGGCACTCATGTAAAATCAATAAATAGGCCTTCAGCACTGCAGATAAATGTTTTCTCTTGGGCTCAGGGCTTTTAATTGGTTTGACTACCAAAGTGACTTCATCCTAGACATCCACCCTTTGCAATGCACTTTTGAAGCCAGACATTAAAGCAGTTCCAGATAAGAATTAAGTTTGAAGAAACTTAGAGTTAGGAGCATGATCATGCACTTTCTTCAAAAGTATTGAGCTTAATCCCATGCATAAATTATATCCTGAAGGAATTATAGTTAGTACTGTAATCATAGCATGTTTTCATAGCTTGTGATTGTTTAGTGAACGTTAAGGGAATACCACAAATTTCTCAATATTTTTTAATTTCCTTACATTTTGCTTTGAACTCCGAAAATACACATTTTATTGTATTTTATTTTATATATTTCACTATTTTTTTCTGAAGTTTTTAAATACCAGTGTATTTTCTCACAATTCTTAAATAATAGAAAATAAGGTCCGTAGTTCTCATTTTCAGTACAGCTAAACTTCTTGGTTTGATGTCTTTTAGCTACATTGCAGATAAATAGTGTAATAGCTACATGTCTTGGTAGCTCTTGTTAATATGGTTGTAATGTGCATCCTGGAACTGACACAGGCATTCATGTGTTTGTGGTATAGATAATGTCTTCTAAGGCCCTTTCCTCACCAGTGGTGGAGTGTTACAGGTAAAGTGAGAACTGCTTTTGTCAGATGCATGGTTTGGACAGGGTGGAGGGCTACCATTTGCATGATGTCCTAATTGGCACAAAGGACTTTGCTTATTAGAATCACTGCTTGTTTCTCACTGTTACATCTTGCATCACAGATGCTGAATCAAAAGATAAGCGTGCTTCAGACTCTGAGTTTCTGCACTCTGCATCATGCATGAAGCGTTTGGAAGATGCTCTTTTAGAAAACAGACCATGTCCTGATATTAATGTTTGTGTACTGCACTCTGGGGAAAGGAGATCAAACACTGAAGAACCATACACAAAGCATATATTAAAAAGCAAAAACAACCTGATACATACCTAGAAAAAAAATCTGAAGATTTAAAACAGAAATTATACTGAAAATAGGAAGTATACAGTATAACTAGTCAGAGGCCATTACAGATTTTAGAATGACTAGAAGCCACTGTTCTTTCATATCCACCACCAAAAATGAATTGGAATGACTAACTATGGAACTCTGAAAGTGGTACTGCAAATTGCCAGAATGCAGAAAGCACATTTTTTAGCACTTGTGGCAGACAAAAAAAATCACTTTTGCACCATGTGGCATTGCTGTCTATGAGCCTAATGCAAATTTGTTGTAGATAGTACTTAAATACTGTATACAGTGTTTCCGTGGATTAGAAGTTAAAATTAGTGCTGCATAGAATTTGGTGGTACAACTCCTGTTTGCTTCTTAGTTTACTTCCTTTTACTTCTTTTTAACTCTATTTTGAAGTCCATTCAGTTTGGAAGGAAGGGAAGGGAAGGGAAGGGAAGGGAAGGGAAGGGAAGGGAAGGGAAGGGAAGGGAAGGGAAGGGAAGGGAAGGGAAAAAAATCTTATAAATAAAAAGGGTTCCACTGGTTTCAAAGAATTTACAAAATTCCCATGAAAGCAAATTTCTTAAGGACATAGCTCTTTAACAGTGTAATGGTGTCCTGTGAGGGGGTGGTAGGTGGAGGGTGGAATTTCCAAGAGTTTTGAAAACTTTCTCTAAAGACTAAGATTTAAAATTTTTAATCTTTGTAATAAGTTACTCATTATGTAGAAAAACTTCAAAATGTAATACCATTGGCTTGTAAATACATACACTTGAGAGGCACACAGTACCCAGCAGTTCACTATTGGACATGGAGTTAGTTGCTGCAGTTCATGGACATTCCTGCGTGCTTTGAAAAAATCATTCTGATATGCCTGAACATGCCTGTTTCTTTTTGTAATGAGCGAGGCTGTTTTGATTTCTTGCTCTGCCATCCATTTCTCTTTCATGCAATGCATTATACTGTAAAATTCCTTATGATTTGATATCCTGACTTCTGTATGGGGTATTTACTGTTTGTATTTCAATGATAATTCACTTATATAGAAGACAAGTATGGTGTTAAATCTAATTTTAAATTGTGTGCTGTGTTTTTAAATGATCTTTTACTAAGGAACTTTTGAGGGTGATTTCACCTAGGTCTTCTAATCAGCCATCAAAAATTCCACTTGTAGAACACATTGCTGCACAGAATCCTCCATTTTGCTATTGGCTTATGATGGCCTAAGCCTTGCCTGGGTTGAGAGTTATCTCCAGCCATAATCACTACAGTGGAAGAGATAAGAAAGCTCATTAAGGCAGTATTCTTGAGGAAATGAGTTACAATCTCTGTTTCTCATTGCTTATTACTTGAGCTCTACCTACTGCCCATCCTCTGAATAGCAATTCTGTTAGCCTCTTAAGATTTCCCCTACACTGCTGGAAACTGCCTTACTGGAAAATACTTCATTCCTTTTTTTTTTCTTAAACTGCTCCATTGGCATGTAGCACATAAACTTTGAAAGGATGTGGATTTTCTGCACTTTTTGATCCCTACAGTTGTTCAATCTGTACTATCCTTTTTTTTTCTTTTTTTTTAAATGGAAAATACAATATTATTCTATGTAAATGCAAAATGTAGTCCAGTTTTGGTTCTGGTTATCTGATTTAAGAGTAAGTCATATGTTACATTCTGCAATTATTCCTACGCATAGATTATAACTTCCACAAGTGAAATAATTAAAACCACTTAAGGTCATTTTCCAGTACTTTATTAAATCAACATGCCATATTTTATGGACGCCCCCCTCTTTCTAGTACTTTGTAAGATTAACAACTAAATTAACATATAAATGGGCAGTGACAGAACTTTAGGCAAAGGGATAGTGGGATAATTTTAAGAGAGACCTGAGAAGCCTGATCACCAAACCAGACATTGGAAAAGAAGTTAGAAGTAGTAGTGCCAAGCCAAAAAAAGTTACTTGCTGGCTTCTAGGGCATAATTTCTTTCAGCAGTAGTGGCAATTGAAGGCATATCTATGTGGGAGTGACACGCCTCTTAAAATATGAGTTTGCTTAAGAAGCCCTAACTTCTTGTTTCTTTTTCTTCTTCCTAGAGAACATTTTTGTTGACAAGCCATCTTCAAAATTTGCCCAAGAGGATGGAGAGCAGACGTCAATCATCCCTGTCCACCAGGTTATTGACAAGGTCAAGGGATACTGCAATCCTCACTCTGACAACTTTTATAAAAATATCATCATGTCTGACACATTCAGTCACAGCACGAAGTTTTAACTGGACTTCTGAATTCTTCGAACTAAATGAAGCCAAAAAATCCGCCTGGAGTGAAGAATACTGGATATCATACAATGTGATCTGCCCAGTTATTTTTTCCAGTTTATAATGTTATCTTATAAACAGATTCCACTTATGGACCAATTTCTCTACCTTTTTCCTATTGTAGGAAAGGACAATTTTCTGCCATGATATTGAGCTGTTTTACAGAGTGTGCCCGCCAACATGGCACCGGGACAGCTAACCATAATCCTGTGTAAATATTTTTTTTTTTTTAAGACAGAAGAAGAGCCATAAGCCTAACTCCAAATTATCCAATCTGAACAGAAGCATATCCTGACTCCGGAGAAAATAGCAGACATGTCATGCAGTACAGACAAGCTCTTACCTAATAGTTTACTGACGGTCTATTATTTCTTTTGAAAAACATGAATTTTCCCTACAGCACTTGTTAGATTCTCCTAGATTCTCCTTTCCTTATTCTCCTTATTGACTGTCCAGTGCTGCCTTTTTTTTTTTTTTTTTTTGGTAAGTGAATAAAACACTAAGACCAGTGTTAAAGGGATTTTTAAAAAACATTTTTTTACTAAATAGACCTAATCATGCTTACCAAATTGTATGTTCTGTAAATTCAGGCTATTCTGAAAACAAATATATATAAACACACTTACTACATAGATCTGCTGGCTGAGGAAGACCGTAAGCTGTTAGTAAATCTTTTGCAAATTTTAAACCTATAGATATGTATGGCAGCATACATCTGCATTGGTCCAGAACAAGGTAAATCCAAAGTTTACACAAAATCATTTTTCAATATTTATTGATCAGCATGTAGGAAAAGCAGCATCTCCCATTGCAACTTTTATTATGCAATGTTTGTACCAGTATGTGCGGTCTTATTTTTTGCTAAACAAAACAGAAAAAGAATCTCTATATAAATGTATAAATACATATTTAGATTTCTCTCCACACATACTTTTATAATATGCACCCAGTCAATATTACAGAGGAAACAATGTGTACTACAGACAATCTAAGAAAGGCAAACAGTGGTAAAATTGAATACAAGTTTAATACTTTGTGATCCCACAGATTCATTTGCCAGTCTCTCTGCTTCAGGCATCTCCATCAGATGGCTTTGCAACATTAGCATAACCTGAGTTACATTTACCAGTAATAAACAAATGACATCATTCTGGGCACATGACACAATCAGTATCAGTATCCCTCTCCTGCCCCTGCATTTGCTGACTGGCTTGAGACTGTTGGAGGCACAAATTTTTAATTAAAGAGTATTGAGGCAACAGGAAGGAATTTTAGCATTGCTGTACTGTGTACGTCATTACACTGATCTCACTGTATGTGCAGACAACAGACAAGAGCATAAAATGCTTACTCGTTTTAAGGTCTATAGATTTGTGACATGTTAGCTTGTGAACATGTCTGCCAAAAGTACATGAAGCATGTCTCACTCCTTGCCAGGTGTTGTAAAAGTTGTTATTGCACATGTCACAGAAAGAACGGGCCAGAACTAAAAGGTGTTCTCAATTACTGTTTTCAGAAGAGAATGTCTCCTAGTGGAAATTTTCTTTCTTTCTTTTTTTCTTTCTTTCTTTTTTCTTTTTTTTTTTAACCAATGTATTTTTAGGCAAATACTTAATTAGCTGCATTGGGAAAATGACCAGAAAGTCACTCTGTGAGATGTTCTATTGCTAAGCAGGTGAATACTCAGTGATTAGGGATGTGGATTTGTGCTTCTCTCTGCTCTTTGCACGCATCTTTGTGTGCAGAGATCTTTTAATGCTGTGACCGCACAAATGGAGTATTTTCCCTGGCTGCAAACACCTTGCAGGAGGAGTATGTCCTAACTGTATTCTGTCCAGAAACACTGCTGTTGCTACCCACACCTTAACAAAACCTCAGTCTCCTAACTGCAAACACTTACTTACATGGTGGTATGAATGAAAGTCGACCTTATACACTTAACATGTAATTATTAGTAAGGATGAATGTGTCAGATATCTTTGAAAGAGGAAATAATGTAGGGAGAGATTATGTACAAGCATTTACTGAATTTATATATCATCCCACTTGCTTAACTACTGTAGGTAATAGTGTTCACATAGCAGCTTACTGTGAGATTTCTACCTGATTAAGGTGTTCAGAAGTGAAAAGAAGGAAAATAAAACATTCCTGAAAAAAAGAAAAAAGAAAAAAAAAAAATCATGAGGAATTATAAAACATAATAGATTAGTAAAATATAATAAAAAACCAATATCCTGACTGAACTGTAATCTAACTATCAGTTTAATGTACAGCTACTATATTTTTTTTCTGAAATAAGATTTTCTCTTTTCTTTTACTACCATGTAGTAATCTTAAATATCTGTGTCAGTTAGATGCTCTGGAATGCTCTCAGTTCTGTGTAAAGCTTCTACTTTGTAGTTGACATGCTGTAACCTCCCTTGTACATATTTATTTATTTGTGAGGTTAGAAATGTCAAATATACTTAGCTCTGTTACGTCTGTTATTGTTTAGCTTCTGCTTCACCGTAGAAAAAGAGGGAAATAATAATTTCTTTTATTTTTTCCAAACACTTTGTGAAAAAATTTACTGTAGTTCGGTATGAGGAAACATCAACATAATTTGTAATACTAGTCAGTGGAATATAGTGTAACAGTTTTGAAGATGGACTAAAGTGGAAAGAAACATTTTCAAGTAAACATTCTTGATGTTAGCATACCAAATAATTAAAGGGTTTTTTTAGTAGTGAATGGTTGAATTTTTTTCTTTTCTCTCTTTTTTTTTTTTCTTTTTCAATGTTTAATGGCAAAAATTACTCAGTGGAATTCTGAAAAATAATCTTGTATTTATTAAACATGTGAGATAGGTACATGTCTAGCCAAAATGTTGGAAATAAATATGCAAGACTAACTCCATTTTAGAAGAGGAATGCATTCTGCAGAATATACTTTTCCTTTTTGTTAATAAATTGATGCCAGATCCAGTGAGTGATCAGTGGTGAGTTCATTTTTTTATGGTAGAATGTGTGTCATAGCAAGAAAGGAACATCGAGGCAAGAGACAATATGCTGTGAGAAGTAATACAAATGAATAATTGAAAACTCAGTTCTTTCTATTCATATGTTTCTTTCCAGATGAATTTAGTCCTTCATTATGAATAATGTGATTTAATCTGTAATCACATTTTGACTAATTGCTGTTATAATGCTGTAGTCAGCTGATCAATTAAATCTGCACACTAATATATAAACATTAGATGCAACACACTAATGACCTACCTTTTAAATGTTTTCACCTAAAGAACATGGAAACTCAGTGAAACATGTCAGACCTGCTCCCCTGTACTTAAACCTTGACCCAGAAATGCACAGCATTTGACGTTTCAGTGATAGTATTTATAAAAAGCCATGAAAACAAAACACGTACTATTACTATGGATGCATGGTGTGTCCATGGGCAGCATGTCCATGCGTGTTTGTGGACAGTGAACACTGCTCTTGGGATCTTTGTGATTTGAATGGTGTGGGAGGACCCTCTGAGAGAAGAAGTCCAGGTTTTTTCAAGTGGGATTTTGGCAGATACAAAACTTGTGATTTGCAGCATTTGAGGGTGGATTTATTTTTCTCCTCATTTCATCACTTTTTAAATATCAAGAACAATTTTATTTTAGTCCTCTACTGTTAACAGCTTCCTACTGTAACCCATTGAGTTACATAAAATGCCACTTCATTTTGTTCCTTTTGAGAGGCTGATCTATATTCAGACATATCTATGTAACTACAAGGATAGCTACTGACTTACAGGACATCAGTGTCATTCATGGAGGTGTGATAAAGATTTGTTTCATATTTTTTGTATATGAAGATGTATGACCATATACAGGTCAGAAAACAAGGCAAAGGTCTTAGAAGTTAAGGTCAGGTAAATCAGTCATGCAAACCAGCCTGCGGAGCAGCCATTGGCACTGCTGTGCTGAAGAAGCTTTTCCCTCTGCTTAACCAATCTTTGTCTACTTGTTCCATATAATTTGGAGTGCTCCTGGCCCCACCTTGGCACTCTCATCCTCAGGACATACATTTGCTGCAGTGCAAGAAAAGGAAAAGGGGAAAAAAAAAAAAAAAAAAAAAAAGGTTAAGGAAAAGGAAAAATGGGGATGTGAAAGGAAGAGGAAAAGTGAAAAGGTAAAGGAAGTGCTGTGTGAGAGAAAGGGAGAAAGAAGAGGGAGAGGAGGAAAAGAAATAACGGTACAGAAAAGGAAGGGGAAAGGAGCAAGGGCAGGGGCAAGGAAAAGGGTAAAGGAAAAGGAAAAGGAAAAGGAAAAGGAAAAGGAAAAGGAAAAGGAAAAGGAAAAGGAAAAGGAAAAGGAAAAGGAAGGCTGTCAATGCCTGCTTTGCGTTTTCTTATGCTTTTCACATTGTTTCTTGTCCTCTCCCCAGGATGTTAGTTACCTTGACCAGTGATGGATGTAGGCTAATGGAGAAGATGGAATACCATGGTTTTATGTGCACTTGTAAATCAAAGTGAATATATTTTCACTCTTCAGGTTTAAGCTGAAGATCTGCCATGATTCTTCAAGGCAGCAGCTCCATGCTTGGAGGCTGATATAACAACAGTATCTCAGTAATTCAGGAATACCCTAAGTGCCCCCATGATAAGAAATCAGCCTGACAAGCTCCAAGCATCGCATCTGAAATAACTAAACAAATTTCCTGGAAGCCTTTTATCGAAAGACAGCCTTTTCTCAGCTACATCTGCTTGCTCAAATCCACTGCTGCCATTGTTCTTTCATTAATCCCACATTCGGTACTCAAGAAGAGTGCATTTTGTGGTGGTGTCCATACAGACTGTATAACCAGTGCTGTCTGAAAGCAGTTTTAATTATACAGTTTTCACAAGGAGTGTTGGTTGACATACTTACCCCACAAAATCAATGCCACCTTCAATCTTCAGCATGGACCAGTCAGCCACAGACTCCAGGCTATACCACTAAACTGGGCACTTAATATACAGACTATTCTAGTAAGAGTTCTGAAAAGCACAGCTTTAGCTAGAAAAGGGTTCTGAAAATCCATATGCAAAGTGTAGGAAAAAAATGAGCAAATGCTTTAAACTTTACTCAGATGTGTCCCTCCACTGCCATTTCTTTTTCCCTTTTGACATCTCACAGGAGAGGAAGAAGAGGACTGTGGCTGAGCAGTGCAGCTCACGGTCACTGGGGCTCTTGTTGTCCCTGTCATGCTGCATTTCAGATTCAAATGTAGTAAATGTAATAACATTATGCGTTTTTTGAATTCCAGTCTGGTTTTCCTTTCCACTCGCCTGGCACGGTTGCACAGGTTTTTCCAGCAGAGGGCAGTGGCATATTACTGGTAGTAATGCTGTTAAAATCAAGCAAAAAATTCAACAAGAGTCTTCTCATGTAAGCACAGGCACAGAGATATGTGGGAGAGTTCATATCAGGTTTGTCTATTATTTAGTAATCTGTTGCATCAGTGGA